CTGCCCAACCATTCATCATCCATCCATCACATGAAGTCCTTCACTGCTTCATGCCTACAAGCAAAGTCTGTCTGAGGATCAGAATGCACACATACAACATGGCCTCATTACTTCAAAAGGCTGTGATAGGTTTATCAAGTGTTCCTATAAGGGGGCTGTTAAGATTTTCAATTAATATGCCTTGTTCAGATGTCAAAGACCCTGTCTTCAGAAGGTTGATAACTGAGTTCATTTTTCAGGCACGTTCAGACAAACACACTTTTGCTGCTGCAAATCCCTGCATCAGGTTGAGTCTTGTCTAAATACCTCTCTTTTTAAATATATCTATCAGCTGGTAATCAACACCTAATGGACAAGTGGATTTAGAATCCTAAATTGTAGAAACAATTGGAGCTCCAAGTGGTTAACACGCAGGGGCCTTCCTTTCTTTTATCCCCCCTATAATAACCCTGTCAGGTAGAATCTGCTCAGAGAGATCGACTGACCCAAAGTTACTCAGTTATTTTCTAGAACTAAGGGAAGACTAGACACTGAATCTTCTTGCTCCTAGTCCACCAGCTTAACCATCATATCATGCTGGTTCCCCTACGTCACACTGTTCCTTAAAAGAACTCTGATTGTATGGATGGGAAAGGCCTTTTCTAAAATCCTTTACAATCATTGCCAGAAGCAGTGCTGGTCTGATCAATCAATCAATCAGTCAATCAATCAGTCACTCAGGACCTGGATCTCTGCATTGATACTGATATTAATCTCTTTCTCTTCACTGATATGGTGATTTTTTTCTTAATTGGTTTCCTTATGACTTTGGTGACTGAGGCTAGTAATGAACTGATTAAAGTGAATAAATAACTAAAATGTAACACCCAGTGAAAGCTAGTCCTGTTAATCTTTCTGATCGTTTAGCCTTCTCTAACCTGATCTTCTCCAGTTGCAGGGGACAACAAATCCCAGAGTTCTCACCTCATTCTACCGAATACCTCTCTGGGAGAGACTAATGAAACTATCTGTTACCTTTTGACCCTTTTGCATATCTTTATAACTACCTCCACACATATATGCAAACATATGTAAATACACCTTCTGCAGATGATTTGTTCACCACAGCCAAGAGCTCATGGACATGGATGGTCAGCATTGGGTAAAAACTTTAAAATCCACTGTCATCTTCCATGCTGCTGACTGCATTGACCTTTCTTTTCCTTTACGTAATCAAAATTCGCTTCCTATTAATGTATAACTTTATGATTCAGATTTACATTGTTCTAAGAAAGAGAGTGGATTTACCTGATACAGTTAAGAAAG